TAGAGTGCTTGCCTAGCATGCATGAAGTCCTGGGTTAGATTGCACAGTACCACATAAACAGAGCTGGAAGTGGTGCTGTGGCTCAAGTGGTAGAGTTCTAGTATTGAGCAAAAAAGAAGTTCAGGGACAGTGCCCAAGCCCAGAGTTCAAGCCCCAGGACTGGCAAAACAACAACAATAACAAAAAAACCATAAAGTCATTAAATTCTCTTTTTCTCCTCTTTTGTCCTCTCTCAACTTGGTAGAAATTGTATTTCACCATAATATAACAACTAAAAGAGTAATTATAGAAGAAACAGGAAGATACCATTCACTATTAATAACCAGACATTCAGTGATTAACAAGTGACTCAAAAAGAAAAAGAAACAGAACCTGAAAGGAATCATATTCAAGTATGCAATTTTTTGTAAGTTTTTATTTTATTTTTTTTTGTCAGCCATAGGACTTGAACTGTGGCCTGGGCGCTCTCCGTCAGCTCTTCAGCTACCTCTTGAACCACAGCACCCCTTATTTTTTTTGTCAGCCATAGGACTTGAACTGTGGCCTGGGCGCTCTCCGTCAGCTCTTCAGCTACCTCTTGAACCACAGCACCCCTTCTGGTTTTCTATTGGTTTATTGGAGATAAGAGTCTCAAGGACTTTGCTGCCCAGGCTGGCTTTGAACGGTGATCCTCAGGTCTCAGCCTCCTGAGTAGCTAGGATTACAGGCATGAGCCACCGGCACCGGGCTCATGGATGAGGTTTTGAGTTAGATCCCCAGCACTAGGGGAAAAACACTTTATCAGCCTTGGGAAACTTTCCTTTTAATTGTATAATTGTCTGATTGCAGCCAGCTGCTGATTTGCTCCAGTACAACAGAGCTCAGGTCCTGTACCATGCCATTTTCAACCACCTGTACATGCCAGAGCACTGCCTCATTCAGGTAATTGCAAAGTTTATTCACAATACTCTGGGTTCTAGCTGAGAAGATAGCATTATGTAAGGTAGAAATATTTTCTTGAGATATTTTCTTGTCTTGTAAAATGAAGATGTGAACTAAAAGCTATTGCCAAGTTGAAAGTATTGCACCATCAAGCAGGGACCTACATTCCTGAGTCTCTGCAGAAAAGCCAGTTTTATCTTCATGTGGATCAACTACATGTCAGTTAGGATCAGTATAATGTCTAAAAATGTTGTACTTTTATTTAAATGTTTTTGTCCTCCTTTATATCAGCACTTGCACTTTAAACACTGTGTTTGTAGATATTTTAGTGTCCGTTATTGGTTCATTCAACAAAGAATGTTCTGTTTGCATCATTGTAGTTATTGTGACTTATTCCAAGAATTAAGCGAATCAAACAGGCTTTGTAGCTTTAAGAAACACTGGAGGGATAGTTATTTCAATGTGACTCTGTACACATATATCCAAAACTGTGAACAACAGAACGGTAACAATAATGCAAAGCACAGGCGTAGCCACCAGTAAGCAGCTAACTACCCACCAGGTTTGGGTGGTGTTGAGGTGGTTTAGCTAGGTGATTTTTTTGTGTGTGTGTGTAGGTTGTGGGGCTTAAACTCTGGGCCTGGGTGCTGTCCCTGAGCTCTTCAGCTCAAGGCTAGCACTCTACCACTTGAGCCACAGCACCACTTTCTTGAGGTGGTTTAGAAGGCATTGGGAATGAAGTAATACTTGCTTATGAAAGATGTATTCATTCCTATCAGAGTTGCTTAGGAGGGAAAAGAACATTCTAAAGACAGAAGCAGTAAAATGAAGAAGAAGCAGAGGTGCTGGCATTAAACCAGCTCCTTGAAAATGCTAGGCTGGTGCTCTACCACCAAGCTAAACCCCCAATCTCTTTTAGCCTTCTCTGCTACCCTCTCACCACTACCTTTTTTCACTTTTTTACCCCTTTTTCCTTTTAAATAGTACTTTTGGTACTGGAAATATACCAATAAGTACAAAGTTTATGTCATTTATTTATTTATTTATTTATTTATTTATTTATTTGGGTCTGGTCGTGGGGCCTGAACTCTGGGCCTGGGCGCTGTCCCTCAGCTCTTCAGCTCAAGGCTAGC